CCTGCAAGGCTGGCGGGAGTGCGAGGAAGCCCTGCCAAGGCCCTCCCTGGCCCCAGGCAGGCAGGGGTGAGGAGAGGCGAGGAGGAAGCAACTTACCCTCCCTCTTCTCCTGCCTCCTCCTGGCTGAATGAGGGCTGGAAGCGGGGCGGCCGGAAGCAGGGGGCGGGGCTTCATCGTGTGCCCCCCCCGCCCCTCACCCGGGGGAACTGCGTTCCCCCCCCGAAATGACCTCTGCATGGGCCTATAACTTGAATTTGGTGTATGTGAGATTTATTATTTTATTCTTAATTGTTGCCCACCCGGAGGCAGTTTGGTGTAGTGGTTAAGTGTGCAGACTCCAGTCTGGGAGAACCGGGTTTGATGCCCCACTCCTCCTCCTACATCTGCTGGTGTGACCTTGGGTCAGTCACAAGTTCTCTCAGAGCTGTTCTCTCAAGGGCAGTCCTCAAAAGAGCTCTCTCCTCCCCACCTCTACCTCACCGGGTATCTGTCGTTGGGAGGGGAAGGGAAAGGAGATTGTAAGCCACTCTGAGACTCTGGGTGGTGAAGGGTTGGGTATAAATCCAATCTCTTCTTCTCTATTGAGAAAGGGTAGGAATAGGTCTTGAGTGAAGTAACTTCTTGAATTACTTTTCTGAGTTTTGTGAGTGGTGGAGAGACAAACTTGTTGATGCTTCGCTAACCTCAGTTTTCTAGTCCCTGTTAAATAACAATCCTGACTTCTACCTTGAGGGGGGAGATATGTCCACACTACCTCTTTCTCGGCTCCCTCTAAGCTATGGAGTCCTGTGAGCAAAAATTCTACTATGTGAGCTACTGGCATTAAAGTTGTGAGCAGGTGTGGCCAGTTTGGTGGAGTGGTTCAGTGCGCGGACTCTAATCGGGGAGAACTGGGTTTGATTCCCCACTCCTCCACTTGCACCTGACTGGATGGCCTTGGGCAAGCCATAGTTCTGATAAGAGCTGTTCTTGAAAAAGAGCAGTTTCTGTCAGAACTCTCTCAGCCCCACCTCCCTCACAGGGCGTCTGTGGTGGGGAGGGGAAGGGAAAGGAGTTTGTAAGCCGCTCTGAGACTCCTTTGGGTAGTGAAGGGCGGGGTATAAATCCAATCTCCTCCTCCTCCTCCAGCCAGTTTGGTGTAGTGGTTAAGTGCACGGACTCTAATCTGGGAGGACCAGGTTTGATTCCCCACTCCTCCACTTGCACCTGCTGGATGACCTTGGGCAAGCCATAGTTCTGATAAGAGCTGTCCTTGAAAAAGAGCAGTTCCTGTCGGAGCTCTCTCAGCCCCACCAACCTCACAGGGTGTCTGTTGTGGGGAGGGGAAGGGAAAGGAGTTTGTAAGCCGCTCTGAGACTCCTTTGGGTAGTGAAGGGCGGGGTATAAATCCAATCTCTTCTTCTTCTTAATCACTAGACCAAACTAGACTAGAGGAGGAGGAGGAGGAGATTGGATTTATCTCCCACCCTTCACTACTCAAAGGTGTCTCAGAGGGACTCACAAACTCCTTTCTCTTCCCCTCCCCACAACAGGCACCCTGTGAGGTAGGCGGGGCTGAGAGAGCTCTTGACAGAAACTGCTCTTTCGAGAACAGCTCTTGTCAGAACTATCAAAAACTATACAGGCTTTGGTGTAATTACAATAAGAAAAATAGGGCTCACCAAAGAAAATTACTCGTCTATATCTTTAACACACTTAGTTGTATTATTATACCAGATTTCCTTATACCAAATTTCCTGTATTAACTCGCATTCATTCATTAGATATGAAGTACGTTTCACGAACATAAGCAAAGCCAGTAAATGATAATATGAGTACAATACAAAACAATACAAAATCCTGATATCATTAGTCTTGAGGTTGTTTTGGCTGAGCCCATGAAATGTTTCCTCTTTGAGATGTCCTGACGGGGCTGTAAAGTGTGCAAAGCAGACTGAAAAGTCCTCGTTATACGAGTTCCTGAACAGTGTTTATCACTCCTTCATATATATAATGAATGAATGTGAGTTAATACAGGAAATTTGGTATAAGGAAATCTGGTATAATAATACAACTAAGTGTGTTAAAGATATAGAAGAGTAATTTTCTTGTCAGAACTGTGGCTTGCCCAAGGTCATCCAGCAGCTGCATGTGGAGGAGTGGGGAATCGAACCCAGTTCACCCAGATTAGAGTCCACCCACTTAACCATGACACCAAACTGGCTCTGTGTTTTCTAGAACTGCATGTTGTCACTGAAGAGGTTCTGGGACGGAGAGGCCCTGTACAGATGTGAAATCGAGATGGGGGGGGGCGTAATGTTCAGAGCCTTAATTCTAAAAAGGCTTGTCCGAAAGGAGTCCGTACCCAGCGAGCGGAACAGATCCTTCGTGCGTGTGAGGCAAGCTTCCGAACGCTATTTCATCTGTAGCTTTTACGGAAGCGCCGGCCCTTCCATCATTTTAAAGCAATTCCAGCCATGCAGAAAAACTGGCTCAGGAAGGAATCGTATTAGCGGTTACCATAATTTGGTTTGATTGATCGTGAAAATTGAGTAACGGGAGGAACTGCATCCTGCCTTGGGAACATACTCTCCCTCCTCCCGCACAGATGACCTGGCCACCTTGGTGGCCCGCAGCTGCTGGAATTTCTTTGGTAGGGAAGACGCCGTGGTCCTCATAGATGCTTGTAAACACAGGGTTGCTGTAGAGGTGTGCCTTTGGTCCTCTGCCAGGGCTATTTTTGGGCAGGAACGCACAGGAGCGGAGTTCCGGCTGGCTCCCGAGTTGGCCACGCCCAGCAGGAACTCATTAACATAATAGGCCACACCCAACAGCAGAAACTCATTAGGATTGGCTACATTAGGGGTGTGTGGCCTAACATGCAAAGGAGTTCCTGCTATAAAAAAGCCCTGGGCTTTGACAACAAACAAAGTAAACAGAGTAACAAGCAAAAGGTGGGTGTGGCTGGATGACCACACTTCTGCGAACATGGGGTGTGTAGTTTAATATGCTAATGAGCTGTGCTGTCAGGGGTGTGTCCTAATAAGCAAATGAATTTCTGCTGTTGGGTGTGGCCTATTATGCTAATGAGTTCCTGTTGGGCTTTTTCTACAAAAAAAGCCCTTGCCCTCTCTGTCATGGGCCAGCCTGAGTCCAGTTTGGCTGAAGACTCCTCGGGAGGTGAGCCACATGCAGCCAGCTCTGAGCCAGCTCAAGTTAGTGAATTGGAGATCCAGGAGCCTCAAGGTTCATTGCCAGCAGCTGACCACGACCCACCCGGGCACAGCTCTGAAGCAGCCCACAAAGCACAGCTGCAGGAAAGTAGCCCCTCCCCCTCCCGTTAATTTAACATCGAAGGGGGAAAGCTCCAGCAAGACTTAAGGACAGACACGCAGGCAGAGTGCTCGCCTCTTGGCTCGGCACCAGCTGCTGAGTGATGGCAGTTCTGACTGCCGCTAAACCGGTCTTTGACCCCCTGGGCTGGACTCTTGGCTGTGATCTAGCTGTGTGGCCTAGCTCTGTTGCCTTACGGTGCCTGTATTCCAGGACGCTCTGTGCTCAATGGCTTCAGACAGGCATTTGGCTACACTGGGCAGTAAGAAGAGCGGGTTTACCCCCCTTGAGCTGGGGTTCCCAACACGGTGACCGTGGGCGCCACAGCCCCCGCCAGCACCTTTCCTCGCACCCACCAGGTGTTGTCAGAAGCAGGTGGGGCCGGATCAGGCACTTGCCGAACGGAGCTCCTGATTGGCCACCAGAGATCCAATCGGCTGGGCAGATTAAAGTAACATTTCAGTGGCAGCTGTCACCACGTAAGAGCCACATAGAATGAACGTCAGATGTCCGCGAGTGGCAAGACATGAACAGATACGACAAACACATTTTTATTTAGAAATATGCGAATCTGCTTTTTATTGACATTAAACGAGACTGCCAAAAATAGAAGCGAAAGGGGTAAAAACAGATATTGATCATGATATTTATTTGTCCGAGAGAGAGAAGGAAGGAAGGGAAAACATGCCTCCCCTCCGCTTCCCAACCCGCCCTACTGGGAGCCGCACAATATGTGTGAAAGAGCCGCATGTGGCTCCCGAGCCGCAGTTTGGCCACCCCTGGTGTAGGGTTTATTCTCGCTCACATCTCTTTTCCAGTGTATTTTTTTTAATTACCCCCTTCTCCCCCCCCCCTCCACTTGGACTTTCTGTGTGTGCGCGGATCCAGCTACTGCAGCATCCCTTCTGTGGATGGCTCCTCCTCCAGGCAGTTTGGTGTCATGGTTATGTGGGCGGACTCTAATCTGGGAATAACCAGCTTTGATTCCCCACTCCTCCTCCACATGCAGCTGCTGGGGTGACCTTGGGTCAGTCACAAGTTCTCTCAGAGCTGTTCTCTCAGGAGCAGTTGTCGAAAGAGCTCTCTCAGCCCCACCAACCGCGCAAGGTGTCTGTTGTGGGGAGGAGAAGGGAAAGGGATTGAGAGCCAGTTTGGTGTCGTGGTTAAGTGCGCGGACTCTAATCTGGGAGAACCGGGATTTGATTCCCCTCTCCTCCACTTGCACCTGGCTGGATGACCTTGGGCAAGCCATAGTTCTGACAAGAGCTGTCCTTGAAAAAGCCATTTCTGTCTAGAGCTCTCCCAGCCCCACCTCCCTCACAGGCCGCTCTCAGACTCGGAGTGAAGGGTGGGGTATGAATCCAATCCTCCTCCTCCTCTTCTTCCTCCTCTTCTCCTCCTCCTCCGGCAGCCATGTTTGTTTGCCCCCCCCCCTTTCAAAATTCCAAAGGTGTCAATGGACTCAAAAAGGTTTAAGACCCCTGCCCTGGAGCATCACTGCACACAATCTTTGTAGATTACTTAGAGATCTGTACAACACTTTGTTGACTGTAAACGTACTGAAACAGTTAACTACCTTATTTGTTTGGGGTGAGGGTGGGGTGAGGTTCCCTGGTCTGGGCTGCATTGGCCTCCGGTGACAGGAATGGTTATGCTCAAAACCTTGCCTCTTTCTTTCTCCGTCTCAGGTCAGCCAGTTCAGGCAGCTCTACTCCAAAGTCATCAACGACAAACACGATGACGTGATGGCCAAGTTTGGAGCGATCCTAGCCCAAGGCATCTTGGACGCAGGTAATTGCCGCTGGAGCCGTAATGGCTTCTAAGTTCACTCGGTTCCTTCTTTTTTAAAAAAAATAATGCTTCATTTATTTCACAGGACTGGTTCAATGTGCAAAGTAGGTAACCAAAGTGGTTAGGGCAAAAACAATAATCAAATATGGCTAAACACGCTGGGCTAAAAATATACAAAATATAAAAATATACAAAATTTGTTCGTTCATGCGGTTTATACTCCACCCTCCCTGCTGAAGCAGGCTCAGGGTGGCTTACATAAAAGGCTAAAACCCATACAATAACAATTATGAAAGAATCAGAAACAATCCAAATTAATTACAAGGGAGTCGTTACGGGCTAAATATCAGGAGAAACTTCCTAACTGAGAGTGGTTGAGCAGTGGAACAGTCTGCCTCGGGAGGTGGTGGATGCTCCTTCGCTGGACGTTTTCAAGCGGAGGCTGGACGACCATCTTCCGGGTATTTTGTAGGGCTATCTTTCGGCTCTGCTCCTGCAGAGTGCAGGGGGTTGGACTAGATGACCTGCAAGGTCCCTTCCAACTCTAACATTCTATGATTCTATGGCGGAAACAATCATGATGGAATATTCAGGTGGGATCCAGTCTGTGTTGATTATCAGCTCATCTTGATCTATTTATGCGGCAGGCACTGGCTGCTGATGGTAGTCCAGGGGAACAGGGCCTTATCACAGTTCAGTTATTCGATGTGGCTCCTTGATTGACAGCCTGGTGGAAGAGCTCCGTCTTGCAGGCCCTGTGGAACTGGAAATTATGCATAGGAAATATTGATAATCGCAATAAAAACCACATATCTACAGTTCTGTATATACGTGCCTCTACCTAATATCAGGACAAATGTCAGAAAATATAAATGCAGGTTAAAACGGTACAGAATGTGCGCGAATACAACAACCAAATGCATTCTGGCTAAAAAGCCTTCCTCGGTGGTAAAATATAAACTGAGCACTCCATCGAGTTTCCAGCTCCATTGCCAGAGCGTCGCCCAGCTACGTGCCCAGCGTACTGGCGTCACGTCTGGGCGACGGCATGGTGCGGCAGGGATGTGTTCCACCGAGGGATTTTCCGGCCGGGAACCATGTGTTCCCCCACCGATTCGAAGGTAGGTACTTGGTAACCCTATGTGCGGATTAAATGGAAAGGAAAACAGTGTAAGCCGCTTTGGGTCCCTATTGCGGAGAAAGGTGGGGTATAAACTTCAGTCCTTGCATGTTTTAATTATGTCACAGTCCACAGGCTGGTGCTCTAGCAAGAGGGCAGGAAGGTTTGGAAAGCCATGGCCTGTCTCTGAGCATCTACAGAGTGAAATCCCGAACTTTTTCAGAACCCCTCTTCCTGCCCCCCCCTCCTCAAATTTTTCTGTGCTCAAAATGATTAGAAACTGACTCCAAATTCCTTGGGGGAGGTGGGAAGGGAAAGAAAAGGATTGTTCAGTTTCAGGGGGGAAATTGAGTAAAGAGGAATTAAGAGAGTTTCTCCTAGAACGGTATACGTGACCTGCCTCTGGGTTGTGTCATCTCCCCGCCGTTTATGTTTCAGTAACTGGAGAGAAATGGCACCCACATTGGCCCACCGGATGTTTTATTGCTTGGCGTGCCTGGCCAGTCACAGGGCAGACGCTGTTCCCTGCCAGGGTCCTGAATTCATCGCATTGCTATTATTGGGCTTCGAATTGTAAAACCAAAAGCCTGAATTTGAAGCAAGCAAGGTGCTAACCCTGTACATGGTTTGAAGTTTATCGGAAACATCTCATAGTTTTAGACGTTTAATTGTGTGTTGGATTGGGGGGGGGGGAATTCTGCCAGGCTATGGTGCATGGACTGTTCGCATTTTTAGATGGTGGCAAACTGCCTTGAACAGATCTTGCTGTTGTTGAAAGATGGTTTGTAAATGTGTTTCAGGGGAGGGGCCGTGGCTCATTGGTCGAGCCTCTGCCTGGCATGCAGAAGGTCCCAGGATCAGTCCCCGGCATCTCCAGTTAACAGGACCAGGCAGTAGTTGGTGTGAAAGACCTCCGCCTAAGACCCTGGAGAGCTGTAAAGAGGGGCTGTGGCTCAGTGGCAGAGCCTCTGTCTGGCATGCAGAAGGTCCCAGGTTCAGTCCCCGGCATCTCCAGATAAAAAGGACCAAGCAGGTGGTGATGGGAAAGACCTCGGCCTGAGACCCTGGAGAGCGGTAAAGAGGGGCATCTCCAGTTAAAAAGGACCAGGCAGGAGGTGATGGGAAAGACCCTGGAGAGCGGCTGCCAGTAGACAGTACTGACTTTGACGGACCAGGGGTCTGATCCAGTATAAGGCAGCTTCATGTGTGTTTGGAGGAGGGTGCACGGCTCAGTGGTAGCGCGTCTACCAGACTCAGTCTGTGGCATCTTCTCTTAAAAGGACCAGGCAGGAGGTGATGGGAAAGACCTCAGCCTGAGACCCTGGAGAGCCACTGCCAGTCTGAGTGGATGATGCTGACCTTGATGGGCCAGTGGTCTGATCCAGTATAAAGCAGTTTCATTCGTTCAAATGTTGCAGATCATAAGAACATCAGAGAAGCCCATGTTGGATCAGGCCAGTGGCCCATCCAGTCCAACACTCTGTGTCACACAGGGGCCAAAAATACCAGGTGCCATCAGGAGGTCCACCAGTGGGGCCAGGACAGTAGAAGCTCTTCCACTGTTGCCCCCCCAAGCACTAAGAATACAGAGCATCCCTTGTCCCAGCCCGAGAGTTCCTATAAGAACAGAAGAGACGCCAATGTTGGATGAGGCCAATGGGCCATCCAGTCCAACACTCTGTGTCACACAGTGGCCAAAAATACTAGGTGCCATCAGGAGGTCCACCACTGGGGCCAGGACACTAGAAGCCCCCTCCTACTGTTGCCCCCCCTCCCAAACACCAAGAATGCAGAGCATCCGTTGCCCCAGTCCGAGAGTTCCTATCTATACCTTGTGGCTAATAGCCACTGATGGACCTCAGCTCCATATAAGAACATCAGAGAAGCCAATGTTGGATCAGGCCAAAGGCCCATCCAGTCCAACACTCTGTGTCACACAGGGACGAAAAACCCTGGTGCCATCAGGAGGTCCACCAGTGGGGTCAGAACTCCAGAAGCCAATACAAGGAACTGAGCAATTCCCACCTCTGAGCTGTGTCATGCTCTGTTGTAGGGCATGCAGTGTGCCTCCACCAATCTCTTTGCATAATTTATTGTCATGCAGAGTCCGGCTTCCCAAAGGGTGGAAACTGGGCATTGGAGTGAAAAATGAAATCCCTTGTTATTTCTTCGGCGTAAAGTGGTCTCGAATGGAAAGTAACGTGGTTTTGAATAGTTCCGTAAGCCGTCTCTCAATGCTTACCCTGGGACGGGGAAGATCTTTCCTCTGAAGTGGGCAACAGAACGAGAGCTGTCCACAGCTTTCCTGCCCCCAGATTAGCCCAGAGCCCGGGAAAAGTTGGGGAGACCATGCACAGAATGAACGAAATGTTTCCAGGATGCAGTCCTGCTACTCAGGGGATTCCAAATCTTTGGCAGGCTTAAGAGCTGTAAACCAAAATTCCAAAGTCGTGTATACCCAAGCCACCCCATATTCACTTGCGTTCACTCAGCACCTGTATTAATCCTGAACGAACCCTGGAAAGCACCGTCAAGTCGCCACAACTTACCACAACCCGGTAGGGTGTTCGAGGCAAGAGCCACTCCGAGGTGGTTCGCCATTGCCTGCCTCCGCGTAGCAACCTTGGACTTCCTTGGTGGATGCTAACCACGGCTGACCCTGCTTAGTTTCTGAGATCTTAAACAGATCAGGCTAGCCTGGGCTTGAATGGTGATGGAAAGAGCTATCAGGTCGCAGTTGACTTAATGGCAACCCTTCATGGGGTCTTCAAGGGAAGAGATGTACAGAAATGGTTTGTCATGAAGAAAGGTTAAAGCGCTGGGGGCTCTTTCGCTTGGAGAAACAACGGCCCAGGGGTGACATGATCGAGGTTTACAAGATTCTGCATGGGATAGAGCAGGTGGAGAAAGAAGTCCTTTTCTCCCTTTCTCACAAGACAAGAACTCAGGGGCATCCATGCAATTGCTGAGCGGTCGGGTTAGAACGAATCAAAGGAAGTCCTTCTTCACCCAAAGAGTGATTCACATGTGGAATTCATTGCCACAGGAGGTGGCGGCGGCTACAAGCATGGACAGCTTCAAGAGGGAACTGGATAAAGATATGGAGCAGAGGTCAATCAGTGGCTATTAGCCACAAGGTATAGATAGGAACTCTCGGTCTGGGGCAAGGGATGCTCTGTCTTCTTGGTGCTTGGGGGGGGCAACAGTGGGAGGACTTCTAGTGTCCTGGTCCCACTGATGGACCTCCTGGTGGCACCTGGTATTTTTGGCCACTGTGTGACACAGAGTGTTGGACTGGATGGGCCATTGGCCTGATCCAACATGGCTTCTCTTGTTCTTATAGGAACTCTCAGTCTGGGGCAGGTGATGCTCTGTATTCTTGGTGATTGGGGGGTGGCCTGATCCGACATTGGCTTCTCTTATGTTCTTATGTCATCGTCTGCCTCTGCATAGCAACCCTGGACTTCCTCCTTGGTGGTCTCCCGTCCAAGCACTAACAAGGGCCGACCCTGCTTAGCGTCTAAAATCCGGTCAGACTGGGCTAGCCTTTGTATACCTTACAAATTCCAAACTGCTCTGCGGCTCTTTCCTAAGAACATAAGAACATAAGAGATGCCAATGTTGGATCAGGCCAAAGGCCCATCCAGTGGCCAGAAATACCAGGTGCCATCAGGAGGTCCAGCAGTGGGGCCAGGACATTAGAAACCCTCCCACTGTTGAC